ACTTCTTTAAGAAACCTATAAAAAAATTATCATAAATTCTAAACTACTTTGGTAAATTAATATGCAACCATTAAGTAAAGACCATCTATATAAGATATTAATAATACAAACTGATCAATATAAGATGTTAATAATACTAACTAGACATCTAGACATCCATAACTAGACATCAACACAGAGCTATATTAAAACTAAATGAATTTTACACAACAGAATAGTAAACCATATAAGGTGCACTGCAGTACATCTACCAATTATTACTGTAAGAAAAAGTGTAATCAAATTCAAAGTTTAACCATATTGTAAGGTAAAAGGTAAACTATGCCTACAATTTACAGTTAGTTCACTTCTTCAGTTTAATAAGGAGTCTTTATCAATAAATTTGATAATTTCTATTTTCTCATGTAAGCATAAGAAACAAGGTTCATTTAAAGATGTAAACATTCTAGCTCTTTTTAACACTTTCCATTTTATGATAAAAGTTTTATTAACTTCTTTTAAATTCCAAAAATATTTAGAAAGAGAGGTACTATTTTTATAAGTACTATTGTTGAAGGATAAGATATGTCAGTACCATCTAGTCTTAAAAGAATTCTTAATACTCCCAATATAAAATTTTTCAACAGTCAGATTTTTTGTTGTAGAAATAGTACTTATATAAAGAAGAGTGGGACATACATTGGTTTTGCAATGGACATTCATTAGAATTCCTGAAATTACATTGGTTAATATTATCAGCAGTATTTATCTTGAAATTTGCATTATTATCCAAGTTTTTAAATTGGTTTAAAATTTTATTTTTGTGTTTCTTTATAATCATCTGAAGATTATCAGTGCAGCTATAACTTAGTTTTAGTGTGTTTCTGTTACATATTTTACTGAGAGGATTATTTCTAGGGAAATGTTTATCAATTAAATGGAGGTTGATCTGGCCTAACAGTGCTGACCATTTGGTTAAAATGGGGTGTATACCAAATGATTTTCCTATTCCTATTCCTTTTCCTTAGACCACTATTATCATGTTTTCTATACTTTATTTCTGTGTACTTGTATTTTTTAAAGCAGTATTATAAACACCGCTGTATTTATCAAACACATCTTTGTCAGATGAGTTGTTGCTAATCCTACATTCTATAGATGAGGGTATATATTTGATTACAGATGGAGGTTGGTTAGTGTTAGGGTGAATATATAATGGGCTAGCATTGGCTTTCATATAAGGTTGGGATACATTATTAACAAGATCCAATGTAGCATCAAGAAAATCTACCTGTTTAACATTAGTATTGATTTTAACCTTAAGGTTAACTTTTTAATTCTCTACGAATCATTTTCCTTAATTTGTCAACCTTAGTTGAAGTGAAATTTTTTTACTACCATAAGACCGTCATTTCTGTATAACCCTAAATTATCAACATTAACATCATCATAAGCACTAGAATTATATAGGATAAATAAGGGCAACTTGAAGCGGTTTAATGTTTAGCACGCTTGTCTTGCTAGAACAATTATGACTGAGTAGTGAGTTCAATCTTCACTGAGTGCCCCTTAATTTCGGCCTTGTGCCACATCTAAGCTACGCTTGGAAAATCACTATATAGAATAAATAAACCCACCAGGTCAGAAGATGCTTCAGAGTCTAATCATCCCATAGAAATATCAAAGTGATCATCAGAGTTATTCTTAACCCAGAGTTCATTGTTGTTAGTGAGAACAGGACTTCTGCAGTTCTTTATTATATTCAGTTCTTCACTAGAAATATTAGAGTATTCTTTGGCAAACTCCAAATATAAGGTAAACAGATCCTTGGAAATAGAGGGATAAAAATTCACATTATCAAATTGGATAAAAGAGCAGTGTCTTTTATTGTTAATTGCTTTGAACCAACTGATGACATCTGCAGTACCAGTCCATTTTAAAGTTCCAAAGTATTGTTTAATTTGTTTGTTAACTCTATCAAGGATAACCATGCTGATCCTTCCAATTTCTGGTCTGGTAGGGTTGATAATCCTTATAGGAAGTTTGGTCTTAAAGACTGGTTTGTGATCCTTAATTAGGACATAAAATTCCTAGGTACAAAGCTTACTAACCCTAATGCTAATTTTAAGCTTATCAGTTATATTTTTACAGGAAGTATTAATTTTATCAACTACTAAATTAAAAGTGTTAATATCCACCTTCTTGTAAGAATTATACTCCATTTGTTCTTATCTTACCTGGATATATATATATGTGTGTGTGTGTGTGTGTGTGTGTGCGTGCGTGTGTGCAGATATGTAGAAAAATAGGAAAGAACATGTTAGGTAAATAATCTGGAGTTCTTTAGTATTTTCATTTTTATTTTTAAAAAACAGTGCTCCATACAGATGTAGAGCTTAACTTATAATTATTTTAAAAAAAATATGATTCTTTCACTACATAAGAGTTCTCATGTTTCAAAAACGATACTTGATACTTTAATTCAATTTAATTCAAATAATTATATTGAGGTTTTTGGCTCTCGTTTTTGAAACATGAGAACTCTTATGTAGCAAAGGAATCATATTTTTTTTTAAATAATTATAAATATATATATATATATATAAGGAAAAATTTGAATACATATCTTATTGCCTCTTTCTCCACCTGATAATTCTGTAATTGCAACATTAATCAATTCTATGTCCACATGAAACTTATAGTTGTGAATAAGAGTAAAATCTAAGTACTGTTTTTGAGTATATTTTATATACTTACATTGAACACTTTGCTTGTAATGTCTAGAAACTTTGACTTTATATATATATATATATATATATATATATATATATATATATATATATATATATATAAGTACAGGGTTGGCAATAGATGGAATAAAATTCCAATAACCAGACACTATTCTTAATAGACTGCTCAATACTAAGTAGAGCAAATAGCATATATATTTTTCTCCTTGTTTAATTTCTGATTAATTTTGTAATAATATTAGACATGATGTTTTGTTAAATTTAGAATTTAACATTTGTAACTTTTAATTTTAATTTTAAATTTAACTGTTAACTTAAAATTTAATTTTTATATTGATTTTAAATTTAATCTAATCTTAAATTTAATGCACTAATAGATTGTTCTTAGGGTATATTGTCATGTTATATTTGAATTACCATATATTTGTATTCTGATTGGCCATCATAGATTAAATAACAATGTTTCCCCTATTGAGGGGGGGTTTGGTTGGTTTTTGAATTCTCAAAACCCTTTATTTCGCAATCAACAATATCACTTGATAAGATACCAGGAGAGTTGAAACAAAATTGTAATTTTGTAGTGATTCATATGTTATAATTTTGAATAAATATTACATATATATATATATATATATATATATATATATATATATTTTAAGACATTTTTTTATGTTTATACGTTCTTTTTATAGATACAAATAAGAAAAAAAAGGTCTTAAAAATAGTCAGACTTTGTCCATTTCATGATGTGTGACATCATTTGTTTACATTTGGATACACATTGAGCAGATATGAAAGTACAAGAGAAAATCACGAAGAACTGTGTTTAAAAACAGTAAAATCAACCTTGCTAATCGAACGCTCCTCTGTGGCTGAATCGGTTAAGGCACATCAGGCTATATGACAGTTCCGTATAGAATACAGATTCGATTCCTGTCGGAGGACACATATTTTCTATGAAAATTTCTCAGATATTCAGGCTGGTAAATGTTGTTAATACTGTTTATTATAAACAGAGCATTTACTTAAATATTTGTATCTATAAAAAGAACATATTAACATAAAAAAATGCATTAAAAATAATTGTTGGATTTTGTCCATTTCATAATATATATATATATATATATATATATATATATATATAGGATGTATCAAAAATACTTTTACAAACTTTTGGGACATGTTCCTTGCATCATAACAAAAGGCCATATAAACATATGTCTGCAAATCTTTTATTTTTGAGTTATTAAGTTTAAAGTAAGTTTACGGTAGATGACACTGTGTTGCCATATAGACTAGGTTACATTTGTCATTTGTGTACATTTGTTTCTAGTCTTTCTCTAATGTTTGTAGTAGTGAGTTAACTGAGAAGTGTTCAGTTTAACAATAGCAGGATATTTATATCAGGAGCAAGCAGATATGATTTTTGCATACGACCATGTAAATGGTGATGGACAGGAGGTTGCATAGCTGTATCAGATTGCATTTTTAGACCGAAGGTAGCTGATTAAATTAACCTTTACTGCTGTCTATCATCATATTGCTGAGACAGGATCTGTGGCACCACAAACTATGTATTAAGAATGACCAACATTCACTCATACACCTGACCATGAAGAACATATTCTACAGGCTATAGGAAATGATCCTGGTATCAGCACACATCAAGTGGCCCTACTATGTTGTACATCTCATAGTACCACATAAAGGGTACTTCAAGAGCAGCTCCTGTATTCGTATCATTTGCAATATGTGCAGAGTCTTTCGCCCTCTGAACTCTCACCATGGTAGAACTTTTGCTGATGGTTTATTGCAGAAACTACCAATCCGTTGTTTGTCTCTTCAGTCTTATTTACAGATGAGACAACATTTGGAAGAGATGGAATAACAAATTTACACAAACAACATTTTTGGATGGATTGGAATTCCCATGGTACAATACAGGCTAGACACCAGCATCAGTTTACAATTAATGTGTGGGCTGAAATTGTAGGTGACTGTCTTGTATGTTTATATGTTCTCCCAGCATGTCTTACAGGAGCTGTCTACAGGGACTCTCTTTTAAACACACTTCCAGACCTGCTAGGTGATGTACCCCTGCTAATACAAAGATGCATGTGGTTCATGTATGATGGGACACCAGCACATTTTAGTCACATTGTTCGAGACGCACTGGCTGACAATAAAAATAAAAATAAAAAATAATTAGTATTTATCCCATTAATTTTGAAAAATCTGTATAATTGTTTGGTTTTTTAAAAAATTACTTACCTGAGTGCTAGGTGTAGTACTTGGTGGCTGAAAGAGTAACATGCATCCAATGAATTGCATGATAAAGTAAGTGCCTCCAAGGATCAGAAAAAGAGTAGGGACACGCTGTAAGATGTCTTCTTGATCAAAGTATTTGTTTCTGTAGAAAATAGAATAAATAATTATTTATTTATCTATATAATGGGATATTAATTAACAGAAAATTGCAGAATTATGTCACAACCACAAACACACACACACACACACACACACATATATGTAGTGTGTATGTATGGAGAGGGAATATACATATACACACGCATGCTGACAAAAACACAAAAATATGGAAATAGATCTAAGAACACACAGGCGTCATTAAAAGATAAGAATGCCAATAACTCCTTCACCATTTCTCTGACCAATCTTAATTGTTTTATAACCCTTCACGCAGAACTCTCTCACTGCCAATTCAGGAAGACATTTGGGTCACTAACACGCAAAAAAAGAGAATGTCTCATATTGAGAATATTTGACATCGAAAAACATAAGAAAAAATTATTAAAACTATTTTTATAAAACTATTTTTAATAATATGTGGAAATCTCCACACTTTGCCTGATGAAGGTCACAAGACCAAAAACTCATGTAGCAAAATTATAGAAAATAATGCATAATATAATTTTTAAAAACATTCACATTACAACCAAAAAGTGTGCAGTTTCTCTCTTCTTTTTAATATACACACTTCTCTCTCGGAACTAGTATAACCTCTTCCTTTTATATATATATATATATATATATATATATATATATATAGAGAGAGAGAGAGAGAGGAGAGAGAGAAACAGAGAGACAAAGAGACAGAGATGAATTACAGATGATACTATCAAAATTAATTGGTGCACAATATTTTATTTAAAATTAATTGAAAATAAACCAATGTTACCAGTGTATTGTTTTGTATTTCCTGAGTGCTCTCCAAATGTGACCTTTTACCAAACAAAGCAAATATTAATAATTATTAGTGCATCAAAAGTAGTATGACAGACATGCTCTCTCATTGTGAAACTGGTATCAAAATTTTGTGCCCATGTGTATATATATATATATATATATATATATATATATATAAAAAACTTAATCTTTGTAGATTGTTATTATAATACAGTTAATCCTTATAGATTTATGTTGAGATTGTTGAAGTTTTTTGCCAAGGGGGACTCATAATTAATCTATACAGACTTCTACATAAATATTACTGTCATGGGTATGATGATAAACTACATCCAACAGCAATGCCTCTCATCAGGAGGTTTTGAGGAGCATGAAACCACCTCTTAATTCCTGGTGTTCCCAGGTCCACCCTGACCGGGGGTGGTAGCACCCGTTAGGGTCCCAGCTATGGGTAAATAGTTAACCCCCAAACTGGGGTCAAAATACTATGAAAGTGTAAAAATAGGTTTTAATACCAGAAATACTTTGTAAAAAATTTATTACCAGCAATACATTTTTGAAAAAATTATTATCAAAAATACTTTCTGAAAAAAATATTACTAGCAATTAAAATCCTGTTGGCATTAAATAACCCATTAAGGTTGATATGCCATAAAATAAATCAAACCAAACCAAACATAAATATTAATTTTGAGTTCCCTTCAAAAATCTATAAATTTCATGTTGGAATTCTTAGAAACATTATAATTTTTATTTGGATTAAAGTGTATGGAATATGAGTGGCATAGTGTATTGAATGATTTTTAGCTAAACACTGCTACTTAACTCATTTATCCTCATTATCATCAGCAGACTCAAAACCAGGTGTGACCACAGGGTTGCTGCACAGCTCAGCCACAGAACAACCCCCATATTATTAGCCATGTTGAATTTTTCCTAATTTTTACAGGAATTTAAGGAATTATTTTCATCTTTAATTTCACATGCAGATATGCAATGTAATTGACCCTGATCTGGCATCTCATCTGCAGTCAATCTCTCACAGACATACCATTGCCTCCCTTCTGTCTTTTTTACAAATACTGTCATGGATTACTGCTCTGGTGAGCTGCTTTCACTGGTTCCCAAACTTCAGGAATTTAAGGCTACTAGGCTGGCATCTCACTCACACTCTTTCACTGTCGAAACTGTTAAATGTATCCATCTCTTCTACTCCAATAGCTTCATGTCTTGCACCTCTCGCCTGTGGAACTCTCTCCCCTTTTCCTGTTTCCCTGATAGCTATAATCGCCAACTATTCAAATGTAATGTCAATCGACATCTCCAGATGCCTTGATCTGCCCACTATCCTTCTCTTCATCCTTTCCTCTATTGCTCCTATTTGCTCTCGCGCCAACTCTCTGTAACCCCTTGCATGTTAGTGGCTTCTTGCCTTGCTTGAGGTGAAATGCTTTAAAAAAAAATTAAAAACATAAATTGTAACAGACAACATGCCTCTTACACAATGTTCTGAAATTAATTTTAGATGTGATTCAGCTGATGATATTTTCTTGTTGTTCTGTGTCAACATATCATACAGACTGCACAGCATCCAGAATAGCATTCCAAACTTAATTTTTGCTCATGAATTGCAGTCCACCAATATAAACCTATCTCTTTAGAATGCTCTGCTATACTGGGTATGATGATAAACTACATCTGCGTCATCCTGTGTAAGACGACAAACTACATCCGACAGCAAGGCCTCTGATCAGAATGTTTTGAGGAGTATAGAACCACCTCTTAATTGCTGGTGTTCCTAGGTCCATCCTAACCTGGGGTGGTAGAACCTGTTAAAGTCTCAGCTATGGGCAAATAGTTAACCCCAAACTGATGTCAAAACACTATGAAAGTGTAAAAATAGGTTTTAGTACCAGCAATGAATTTTTGAAGGAAAAAATTATTACCAGCAATACATTATTACCAGCAATACATTTTTGAAGAAAAAAATATTACCAGCAATAAAAATCTTGTTGGCATTAAATAAGCCATTATGTCTCACTGGCAATGGTGTGAGATAATGCTTTCTCCATCATTGCAGCTGGCAGAGGATAGCAAAAAAAAACAACATTTTGTTTATAGTTTCTTTGTTCTAACTTTTTTTCAAAAAATTTCTTGTTGGAACATAAAAATTTTTTTTAAATTTAAAAAAATAACCCATTGTGGTTGATATGCCATAAACAAAACAAACCAAACCAGAATGATCTGCAAGTTTTCTGTCATTTTAAGGTTGGATGAACAAGGCAGACTCTTCATCAAACAATGGCTTTTCAAACCGAGTTTATTCAGATCTTCATTAGTTTTCTTTGGAAAAAGTGATAGAGTATTGTTGTGTATAGAAATCATCTTTCTGAAAGTGATTAGCATTACCTTCAATGGTATTTTCATGTGTTTCTTCAAAAATCAATATACACTTAAGTTGTTGTCTTAAAACTATCTGGAATCTGCTGTGGGATTATCACTTCTATAATCTCATCTATAATCCTACCCTAAAACATTACACTATCTCTGCTTGTTGACACTTCAATCTCTTTTCAACAGTATCCACACAGTAATCTTTGTATCTTTCTGGCTCATTCAGGCAGAAAAAGAGAATGGTTGAAAAATCAGTCCTCATGTATTCTCATGTTCATTTTATTCAATTTTCCATACAGTTTCTGTCTATATTTCTGAGATGAGGTATTATGTACATTATTTACATTATTCGGACTATTGTCCTCATCTTTATCACCATATTTATCACAATGTTTCAGCCATTGTACACTCCAGCCTTCTTCAGATGGTTGGAATTTCAAACTGAACCCTTTATTTCACTCACTGGGGTAGACTGTTCTAGTTCCACATGCCATGTTTGACATAGACACATGGCACGGTGGATAAAGGCATTGGTTAGATCCAGTGACAGGACCCAAAGAGTGTGAATTCAATACCCGGTTAAGTTCAGTGGAGAACTTTAGGAGGGAAATTAGCAGGAGATAACTGACATCCATCAAATTTGGATAATATTCAATGGTGGCACTCTCGAGGATTTTCCTTCTGAGTGAATTATTTTTTTTTTTATAAGTGTAGCATTTATAAAATGAAAATTGTGGTTGAATTTATTTTTATGTATGACTAGTGCATTTGTTAAATTGTTATTTATGAGGTCTCTTTTGTGCTCATAGATGCTTTTTTAAAAATTTCTGCATGTTTCTCCAATATCACCTTTCCTAACAGAATCCACATTGGATGAAACGCGTCAACTAAAACTACAACAACTAAAACAACAGTTTTCCTATTGTCTTTTTCCTTAATACATATATATATATATATATACACACACACACACATATATATATACACACACACACACACACACACACATATATATATATATACATACACAGACACACAAAGAGGTACTTGTTCATTAGAAAATATTAAGACATGAAAGATAACACAAACTCCATTAAAACATGCAAGTAATCAATATTTGATTCTTGTATGGAAATGAAATATTGATTGCCTTCAAGAACATTTTTAATTGCCTTTTATCTAATATATTTTCCATATATATACATAAATATGTACTGATTGTGTGGGCAAATGTAAATATAAATATATTGTAGATATATACACTTATAAATATTTGCATATATATTAGAATAGCTATATTCATATATACATGTATATACATTGTTCCTTAGTCTTATGTTTTCCACTGGCATCATGCAGAAAGATTCTATTGAATTAATTGCTACATCTGCTGCTAGGAAAGTTTGTTCACTATATCAGGATAAACAATTTTTCTTGCCAGAATCATTCTTCCACATTTATAAGTTGACCATTTGTTTCACGCATTGAATATTTCTATCATATCTGGTCTGGTGCTTCTGCTATGTATTGAAAGATTCTTGATAAAATCCAAAAGAAGAATCTGCAATGTTATTGGTCCTGACTTAGCATCTCAGTTTCAGTCACTTTCCCACTAAATTCCTTGTGCCTTTTCTAGAAATATTATCATCGTAACTGTTCTGCTGGACTTTGCTCTTTCGTATCTCAACTTTATGAATTTAAGCACAGTACTAGATTGGCACATAGGTCTCATCATTTTACAGTTGACATTGCTGGATGTAACTATTAGTTCTATATTGATAGTTTCTTCTCTTCCAGTTTCTTGTTTTCAAA